TGCCGACAGGGTGATTAAGAATAGAGGAGTTTTCAACTACATTGAGTACTTAGTCAAGTGGAAGGGTCAAGTAACTCCAAAGCAAGTTGGGAATGTGAAGACTTCTTGTGGCAGTTCATTGACCAAATCCAATACTATAAGGAGGAAGGTGCGATGAGGACGTCGCAAAATTAAGTGGAGGAGAATGTCATGATTAGTGATTTTTTGTGAGGTTAAGGTGGTTTAAAATGTTCCAAAATCTTTTAGATGACCCCGGTTAAACTTAAGAGAACTAAAGTGTGCAAGAACATTATAGAGAAGTTTACACAACACTAACCTCAATATTTTAATGTTATTTCTAGATATTTTCATATAAATATCTAGATATTTGTTGTAAATATTTAGAAAAGAATTCTATAGAATCAATTATAGTCACAGGATCAATTCAATCTTCATTGTCTATTAAGGAGGTGAAAATGTTCTAGATTTAAGAGGAGGCCTATAAATACCACCTCCCTCCTTATTTGTAACCATCCTTGGGTTCTCAAGCAACACAAGTCTTACATTCCCTAAGCTCTCTCAACTATCCTTTGCTCTCAAACTTTTCCTTTTTTCAACTTAGCCAAGTATATATATATATTTTTTACAAATTAAGCTTACTTAACATATTTCAGTGAAGAGTGTCTAAATGCTGCTCGGGTTGAAAGACAGCCCGTGACACTTGGCTTTCTTTTTGTTTATTCAAGAAAAAAAAGAAGTCTTCCAAACATGTCTAACTTAATACGAAGCCTGTTGCATTGCTTTTGTCTTTTTTTAAGTCTGTTTTACACCCCCCCCCCCACCGGGCGCCCCTTTCTTTTCATACAAATGATTTATTTGTCCATTAATTTGGAAAGAAGTCTAAATTATAAGTTTTGTAGAGAATGACGAGTCAAATTTTATAATATGAAATTATGATTGATGAGACTGAACTCATGATAAACAATAATATCGGTAACTTTGCAGATTTGTTATGGACCGCTAATGGGCCTTTTACCACGGGGCGAATTCATTAGACAACAGTAAACGCGACACTTGGCAAAATTATTTAGGAACGGGCCACTTAAAAGTGACCGAGATACCTTCACGATCTCAAAGGATACTTTCTTTGTTTCTGAGAAAATTGCCTAGTGTAAAGTTGTTATAGTCACCTGAATTCAAATATAGCACGAAGGAGTAGGCAACTTTCATATCATCTTCTCTTCTGTTCTTTTTTTTTTTTTATTGTGTGTGCTGGCCAAGGGATTGATACCAGGAAGAAATTTTTCAAAGCAGTTTCTAAAAATCATCCCTGCTGCATGAAAAGTACTGAACGGGGCTGATTTCTTTCTTATCTGCAGGGACAGGTTTTATGGAACCTGAGATCGTGGGATAAGTTTTTTATGGCTGTTCCTGGTGAAAATTATTAATATATGTGCACGGAGATCATCAGAAATTGCATGACTCAGAAATTGAGTAGTTTCAGCGACATGGATAAACTGTACAGGTCAAAACCGTGATAAAAGATTAGATCGCGCTGAATGAAATGATTTGACGAGCAAACAAGGCTCATAACTCAACCATGGAATAAGCTCCGCTTCTTGCGTTGCATGCAGCTTCACCGCTCTCCCCGCGTGAGAGAGAGAGAGAGAGAGAGAGAGAGAGAGAGAGAGACTAAAAAGAAAGAAAGGAAAAGGGGAGGAGTGAGGGATAGGCGAGGATGAAGACGACGGTGGCTGAGGACAAGCCATGTGAAGTGAAAGCCATGTTTGCTGGACAGATGGCTATGTATCCCTATTTGCTTCCTGTTCCCAAAAACGACGGATTGCATCACGATAAATCATGACCCGCTTTTTTAAAAATCGCCAACAAAAAAAAGAGAGATACAGGCCAAATATTTCAATATTATCCTGTGTTTCTTTAGATTTGCAAATTTCCCATGGGTCCATATTGTCTTCTTATGACTGCTCTTCGGTTTTCATTTACATATTTTCTTACAGCTATCATGTTTCTAAAAATCTGAGCGTCACACTTATCTCTCGCTCCGTGCTATTCCCCTCCGCCGGTGTTTTTAGCGAATTCAAGCACCTCAAGACTTCCAACAACATAATTTAACTTAAACTTGCTGTTTACCCCTTTTCATTCTTTACTTTATCTCTTTTTTGGTCGTCCCATGCCACGATGCCACTTGATTTAAGTGAAAAACTTTTCTGCTTGATGCTTTATTTATCAGATGATAACATTTTACTTTGAAGAACAGAGTTCAACAAGTATTGGACGATATTCCACATATGTGAATGGCATTTCCTAGGATTCACCAAACTCGCTGCATAAATTGCTTCTCTTTGCACTTGTTTTTTTTTTTTTTGGCTGGAATAACAACGGGATTATATTTCATTCCAGCCAACAAAAGCACCATCTCTAGACACAAGTTATTAACCAGCCGGTCTCAAAATTAACTTGAACTCAATTTGTGATAAACTCCACAATTGAAAGACTTGAATACGTCAATGTTTTAAACTGGAACAAAATCAATCTGGATGGTAATAGAGAGAATGAACAGCTCTTCTCTTCCCCAGTCTTCTATGGAGGATCGATATAGCACGATGCCAGGGATAAGGAAAAATGATGAATCAAAGGGAAAAGAGGCGGGAGGGAAAGATTCGAGATTCCCGCATGGGCATTTAATTTCAGAATCTTTTTGGGGCTCTAAGTTTTAACTAAAATGCCGTTCCCATCCTTGAACCAAGCAAACTTCTTTTCAAGAACAACGTAAAAAAAAAACAAAAACAAAAAACAAAACAGACAAACAAAAAGACAAACAAAAGTACGAAACTAGTGAGTACTTCTCTCTCTCTTGCTCTAATTTTTATGTCACGTAAATTTCAGATTTTAACAGGCCACCGACCTGGGGCGAGACAGCTACATGTCTTGCTGCAAAAATTGTGTTGGCGGCACCGGTGCTATAGAGATGAATGACGAGCTGTTTGAATCATGTCCGGAATAGTAGTAAGAAACCATGACAGTAGAAATTAAAAACGAACTCAAATGAACAACTTTATTTAGAAAAAATAATCCAGAAAAAAAAAACTTATTGCTTCTTGAATTCACGCACAGGGAGGCAATCCGCTGATTCCAACTATAATTATCCTGAGTTGGCCTATTTCGTACACGTGAGTCCACTTTTTTTTTAAGTCCATTTTATTAACCCGCTTCATTTCTTAGTATTTATACACTAAGAGAGTCCTTCATTTAGTTAATGTGAAATTTTTGACACACACACAACAAATTGTTGTTTATTTGGCTGACTCAAAAATTATAATCTTTCTGTCATCTTTGCCAAGTTAAAAAAAAAAAATATCCCAATCATTGAAGAGAAAATAATTGAAAATCCATCTAACCCGGACAATTATATTCAGATTTATGCATACGAAAGTAAAAACCCTTCAACATCCACCATTCATCGCCATTCTTTATAGTCTGTTCTCAGGTTTGATCTGTTCAGCAACATATCAAGCATTGTTCTGTGCCACTGCCATTGAATTTATGACTGTTCAGTTTCTCCTTCTATTTTTCCTGGGAACCTTCCCAGTGAGGCCACTTACTAAACAGATCATTGGCCTCGACCACATGAGCAGTAGATGGGAGTTGCACAATGCACAAAAGCTGTCTAATTTTAGATGCTTGTTAGGAGCTTTTGAAAATTCCTGTGTAAGGCGGCGATTCCATCAGGGCGGTCATTTATTTATGTGAAAAAGAGGCTTCTCTTTATGATTTGATCCCCACTCACTAAGGGCCTTTAATGGCTGATGCCGCGTGAGGGGTAAAGTCATGGAACTTTGGAAAGGGAGAAAAAAGCAAAAATGGAAGCCATACATATAAAAATTGACATGCTTTTGGGCATAGACTAGCTAGGCCTTCATCTCTCAAGCTATATATGACAGAAGCTAGCTTCTTGAACGCTAGAGTGGTAAAAGCTGAGAAGGAAAACCAGACAAATTCAAGTCCCGAAATGGAGGAAGCGTAGAGCCAACTGAGTTGAACTGGTGGAGGCAGGCTGAGTGCGCATGTCGGATGATCTCGATTGATTGCTTTTACAAATGTAGGAAGAAATGGAAGTGGGTTAGAATTACACACATGTGATACCATATAGTAGGTGCAAGGTTGGGCATGATGGTGAGGTGAAGTTTGGGGAGCGGAAAATCAGATCTATGGATTAAAGGTATCCTCCATGGTTAGTGAGATGCAGCCCCATGATTTTAGGGCATACGGGCCCAGCTTATTTGTCAGCTATTACGGCACTAAAATTTCACTTGAAAAATGTAGCAACGGATAAGAATCTATCAATTCCTGTGGGGGCTTATCATATCCCCTTCCACTCCCAACCTTTCTTTTTTCTATCGTCTTGGATGACTTCGGACAACACTATTCTCATTGTCAATTTCTTGTTATTGTTGCTGCCACCATTCATTTCGACCCACATTATTCGCACAGTATTTATTTAATTATTTCTTCAAAAATAATCATTATATCAATATCAATAGTACATAGGACAATATGTCTATCTGATCATGATAGTTTTAGAGATCTAACATATTAAAATATTCATCCAAGTACATTTTTACTGAAACCAAATATGCTCGAAAATTGTTCGAGTGCCGCATCACTACGGAGTATATTCTCGAGAAATCCAATTGTTTGGTCATTGGAGGATTAGCATTTTGTTTTCTGTGTAATCTCACAAAAATTGAAGTGAATGAATACAAGGTCAAACATGGATTTTAAGGATACTCAAAATTAGTTTTGGTATTGGGCTCAGGTTCACTGAGATTCACATGGTAGGCCCGAATAATCACGGGCAATGATAAAACAAGATCCAAAAGCCCGTTCGAGGGTTTACTGAATTTGAACTTGGAATCCCGCCTCTCTCCACCTCGTACGCTGGTCAATAAATATAAAATAAAACAAAATTTTGCAACGGTTCTTGCTTTCTCTGAGGAAAAAAGGGATCCGCATATTCCCAGACCGTTGCACCTTGCATTCACAAATCACAGACACAGAAAAATTCAGCATCGTGTCCGCGCACGGACGGCGGTCCGGATCTGAATTCCGAATCAGAGTAATCCCTAAAGGCGCAAAATATGACTGTTGAATCAGCTGATCAACTCCCCTATACCGAGCCTTCAAAATCGCATCTCCAATCTCAGCTCCATCATTATCATTCCTCTGATCACGTTCCATATCCCAAACTCCACTCCGACGACGTCGCCTCGTCCCAGCCCGCTACTCAAGGATCTGTCCGTAGCGCCACCGATACTTGCTTCCCGGTTTCCGGTGGCGCTGCTACCAACATGCCCAAGGATTTCCATCCTTACGTATCTTCCCCGCCGGCACCCACTTCTTCTGCCAAGAGTTAGTATTCGTATCCCTGACTTCTTTTGTCCATATACAAGTTGCAAGTTCGCGTTTGTTCAGAGTGGCTTACTGTTTCTGTTCATTTGCAGATACTTTAGGGTCAGTGAAGGTTGTCCTAGGAAAATGGGGAAAGAAAGCGGCAGAGGCAACCAAAAAGTCTCAGGATTATGCTGGGAATATGTGGCAGCACTGTATGCTTCATCCCTATTATTTTGTTCCTTTTGCTGGCATTCTTCGGTTCAATTTCCAGGAATTTTTTATGCATGCTGATCATTCGTTATATTTGCACTAAGAACGTCCATGGGTCTTTTCGCTTTAAATCTCATTATCCCCTTGGTGCATAATTGATCAATTTTGTCAAAAACAAGATAAAACTGGGAAGAGAATGCAACGACAGCTTTTGGATGTGTAATGTGCTGGTAAATGGTAAGATGTGAAAGTTGAAAGTTAGACTGTGAAATGGGTATGTGAAAAATATCAGCTTTCTTAAGACTATTGTACATGGTGTGAGTGAATCCACAATAATGATAATTAACTTGATTTTATTTGCATGCTGGCAGCATTACTGATAAACCTCGTCTGTTCTTCATCTATGATATTTGGATTGAATGCTCACCGCTTTTCAGCAGTTCGTTTGCAATCCTAACGTGTATGTTGATTTTTCTATGAAACAGTGAGAACGGGTCCCAGTTTTGCTGAGGCAGCTGTGGGGAGAATTGCTCAGGGAACAAAAGTTCTCGCAGAAGGTGGCTATGAGAACATCTTTGGACAGACTTTTCAGACTGTTCCGCAGGAGAAACTTTTAAAAACATATGCATGCTATCTGTCCACTTCGGCTGGTCCAGTGATGGGTGTTCTATATCTGTCAACAGAAAAATTGGCATTTTGCAGTGACAATCCTCTTTCTTACAAAATGGGCGAGCAGACTCACTGGAGTTATTATAAGGTATGCTGAATGTTTCATGATTTTTGTGATCCTTCGCTTTTAAATATCTGTCGTATCCTTCCTAAATTACCAAATTGATTTGATAATATGACCTGTGAATAACTACAGTTAACATTGCTTATTTACTAACCCAACCCTTATAGACGTGGTAATTTCTAACTTAACTTGAATAGGGTTTTAGGTAACATTGCATTTTAAGCAGGCTTGTATGGTTCACTCATTAGAAAAGGCAAAAAACTTTTGTTATTTTAGATTTAGATTCCTCGATATTGAAGATTTACTTGTGTTTGGCAAAAGCAAAAGGGGTGTCGCGAAGTATGTCAGAGACGCAGGATTTCAAAAGAATTAAAGAACCTAATTGCTAATCAAACGTGGGAAACTTGAGCTCCCTTACCCAGTTCACCTAGATGTGAAAATGCAAAGTGAAGAAAAGTAATATAGATGCAGGAAAATAGGGATACATTAATTAAAAAAAGAGGTGGCGGGCTATGCCGGCAATGCAATAGAAAAATAAAAACTAAAATTACATGATAAAAGAAAAAATAAAAGTAGCAGATGCGGAATCTGAGACGGGTAGCTTGTTGATGCTGATGATTTTTCTTGTTGAGAGAGGACTACTCTATTTATATATGATTCTGGCTTGGTGCCCAAATCACATGATTGTCACTTCAAATCATATGATTGTCACTTTCTTTGAATTTAGGAAGTACTTCCTCCATGATGGTTACTCATCATGGATAAGGTGTAGATCGTCTTGATTTAATGACTAAGGCTTTATAAATATTCTTTTTTTATAATTATTTTAAAGTCGATTAAGTTGAGTTAAGCTTGGGCTTTCAAATTCATAATTTGAGTACAAACAACTTAAAACTAAAAAGCTCAGTTATTCTCATAGTACATGATTATTCTGATCTTTTAGGTGGAAGATTTAGAGAGCTAAAACTACAAAGTAGTTGAGGAGGATTAAGATTTTCCGAGGGTTGTTAGCTTGTGCTGTCTATCTGTTGAAAATTCTGTACTGTAATAGCAACTGAAATATGAATGTTCCTTTAATTGGCATTAATGAGCTACTGGTTTCGCAACTAGAAATGTATTATTGGTATATGTCAATTGCGCTGTATTTTTTTTTTAGCCGTATGAAATTTATGCTTGACACTTTTCCCGCAAAAGATTGCTCTGGATAATTCTGGTTTCCTTCTCAAACTATGATCCGGCAGTGAATAATTTTTGTCCAACTTGGTCAGGTCTTCATAAATTATTCTAGAAACAAAGTTCTCGGCAAGCACACATTGTTCTGTTGCCGTTTGCCATTAATAGTTAACTTCTCCATTGCAAGTATATGATTTATGGTTTCCTTTTCGTGAATAAATAGGTGGTCATTCCATTACATCAGCTGAAAGCAGTGAATCCATCAACAAGCAGATTAAAGGCATCAGAGAAATATATACAGCTCATCTCTGTTGACAACTATGAATTCTGGTTTATGGGCTTTTTGCAATATGACGGTGCTTTTAAAAATATACTAGGAGCCTTGCAGCCTCGTTGATGTGCATGTGAGAGGATCAAAGGCCGCCCCACCTTTTATCTTGTCACAGAAAATGTGGTCTGCGTTGATAAATTATTTACCGAATCATGGAATTTTTCAGTTCAATATTATTGTAGTCCGCTGGTCTTGATTGCGGACAAGTCGTAATACTAAAATTCATTATTTGGTAATTGGTGTTAATATTTGTTATATGAGCTGATGCAAAACTTGACAAGGTATGCGTAGATTACTTTGCAAAAACAAAAATTATTTTATTCTTTGTAAGATGTAAATGTAAATGACCATTGTATTGGGCATGTTGAGTTTATCTTTCATGTTTCGGCTCTTTCGATGAGGACCTTCTTCTTGACCGGGGAAAAAAAAAGACGAGGACGTTCTTTGATATATGTCACGATGCTAGCTGTTCATATTTGTAAATGTGTTGTATCATAAAAATAATGAGCTGTGCATCACATTGCATAATCATTGATATACTAGCTAAAGCTATAATCCTGATTGCCTTTTGTATACTATTTTTGTCATTTATTGATGTAATATTAATCAAATTATGCACTTACTCTAAATATTTAGTTGGCTTGTAGCCCTTCGGGTCTAAATCAGGATGGGCATACATATTTAATTTACACCAAAACGACGCCGTTCAGTTATTAAAGGGAGACAATAGCATTAATTGTTATTTCTTTAAAGCCATTTCACCTTCAATATTTTTATTATTTGATATTTTGTACGACTTAATTATATTTGAATATTGTAATGTCTAGTTGAAAGAATTTTTTTTTAAAGATATTTGTTACACTCATTCAAATTTAAGCTTGAGACTTCATGTCTAGAGGCCGTGATATTTTTTTTTTTTGTTGGGAAGCAACATCTTTTAATAGAGTCAGTAATTTGGGCTAAACTCAACGAGTTAACTCAAACCAACATAAAAAAATTTAGGACCATGCTTTAAAAAAATATAATTTTTTTTATACTCTAGCCTATTTGGGCTAGCCAAATACCTCAATAAAAAATTTTATTTTTGTAAAATATATAAAACATAATAAATGTTAATAAATTTTTTAAGTTTTAGGTTATTTTATACTAAAATACCATATATTTAAGTCTTATCATCATTTAAATGTTAAAAAATATATTTTATATTTTTTATAAAATAAAATAATTAATTTTAAAGGAAAAATTTAATTAAAATAATTTTAAAAATAAAATTTGGGCATTCAAGCTGCCCAAAAGAATTCGAGCTAAGCTAAGCTATTTGTGCTTTTAAGGGAGTCGGGCCTGTTCGGGTTTGGACTTATTCAAACCGAGCTCATTTTGAATTTCCAACTCTATCTTTTAATACTTCAACCTCTACTTATTTTAAGGTTTTGCAATGAGGATTGGAGGAGTCGTTACTAGAAGGTCTTCCAAGCCTCAAAACCAAGCTCAAGTCATTGAATCTGCAAAGCAAAACAAATGTTATCAATGTGGATGCTTCATTTAGGAGCCATTTAATTGATAGAAATGATAAGAATGAAATAGATTAAATAAGAATAAAAGAATTAAGAGTCTATTTGTTTTCTATTTTTAAAAATTATTTTTTATTTTTGAAAACAAGAAAAATTTAAAATTTGTTTGGATAAGTGTTTTCAATTTAATTGTTTTCAAAACTATTTTCATTTTTTATTTTTTAAAAACATAAATAGAAACAACTTCAAATTGTTTTGGTTTATTTTTCTTGTTTTTAAAATATATTACATTTGATTATCTGAAATTATAGTTACCTTAATCAATTTATATCATAAATCATCATCATTAATCGCTTATATCACTATCAATTTATTTTTTAATTTTAAAATTAGTTTAAATTAACATAACCAAACAGATTTTTATTTTGTTTTGTTTTGAAAAATAATTTCAAAAACTATATTACAATAAAAAAATAAGAATAAAAAATATATAGGCCCTAAATTACTTTTCTTTTCATGATAAGTATTATAAAAATCAATGTCATATACTATAAAGGATTAAGAATTGCTTTTACCCCACAATTGTATGTAAAAGTTTAATATAGACCTTAAACTCAATTTAGGGTTAGTTCTATCCCTCAACTTTAAAAATTCCCTGGCCATGCCCTTAAAGTTAAGTTATACATTGTTTTAGTTATGTGGGTCCCATATTTTAATTTTTTTTATTATATAGTAAGTCCTACCATTTTCTCTATATATATATATATATATTGATAAAATAAAAATATCTATCTTAAACCCCTCCATCCCTATCTCTCCTTACCCTCTCTCCTTCGTCTCACACCAACTTTTTGAGCTCATGGCTTGTGTAAGGTTGCCCTTACATAAACACAATTAACAAATGTAATTAAAGGTCTAAACTTAATAAGGATTATCAAGTTTTCACAATTACACAAATAGGATCTTGAGATTTCAATATTTAAAATATTTTCATACACTTTCAATATATTCAAATCAGAGTTTAAAATATTTATAGCATGGGAATTAAAAAAAATTAAAACATTTACATTAAATATCAACATAGTAAAACAGTGCAGAAAACAGCACGTGCATCACGGCTAACTGTAGATGCGCCATAGCGTGTGCATCTGTGTCATGTGTCACGGTGCATTGCACGAGTTTAATAGCACTTTGCTATCAAATTGATGTCCAATTAAGGTAATCTTGACATCTGCAAAGAGCTTTCTCATAATTCTAACTAATGGCATAAGTTTCATAACCAAATTCATTTTCTATCAAAAATTGAACACCCATTATCAATTTCACTCTTCTTTCACAAAAACTCACAAGTAGGGTGTTCAAACTCACACACATGTTTCAAAAGCCTATATTAACTATTAGACCACACTGAATGGACCATTTATAACTAGTGCAACACATAACACTTATTCAAATAAACACATATTATAAATTTAACCCTAAACCCTTGATTTCACAAAAACACAAGGGAGAGGTAAACTTTGAATAAATCATCAATATTTATCCCAAAACAACCTAAAATACACATTTTTCTACTTGCATAAGTATTTTAGCTTTACACAAGTTTTACAATCACATCTCATTAATTCAGAGCATAAAATACACATGATCTCCATAACAATAATGCAAGTAGTAAAAAATAATAGAATGAATCCTAGTTAGCAAGTCAATGGCTTAAATACATATCAAAATAAATCTAAGAGGCCTACTATTAAGATTTACTCATAATCCTAAGCCTGTAATCTTTTCCCTTGATGCTGGTCCAATGAGCTAGGCCCTATAAATATTGAAGAATGAAGAGTGAGTACAATCATTCAATAACCAAGGGCCACCTAGTCTATACAGTTGCATATCAATTAGAATGAATGCAAATGGCAATAAACTCAATTATCATGCATATATGGCAAATATAGCCTCAGCACAATAATAACAACCATATGACTGAGCATACAAGACATATTATCATGTATCTTAATTATGCATATAATAGGGTCACAAAAATAACAACCATACGCCCTTAAAATATGTCAGACTAAAATAATAACAATTATGTGACTGAAACTAAATGTGTAAGGTTTCCCTTACTTAATAAATTTAACTCCATAATTAAGGTAATCAAAGAATTAATCCTCAAAGGATTACCAAAGTTGTAAGATTCAAATAATTTATAATGGGATCCCAAAACTCAATTTTTTTCAATCTAAAACAAAAATTTGAAATACTCAAAATAAGAGTTTTAAAACAAGGCGGAAGCTTAAAATTCACATAGGACTTAAGATAATTAGTTTTAAAGCTCAACACAGTGTTTTGTGCAAGGAACGACCCATACACCGCAGCTTACTCATCTCTGTGCCATGCACCACAGCGCATTGCATAAATTTGACAGATATCAGTTGTTAAAATGACAGCACATAGAGTGAACTTTTGAAATGTTTTAAATCTTTGTCTGACATCCGATTGAGGTATTTCAATGTCTATATAAAGCTTTCTCCTTACTCTAGCTAATGGCACTAGTTTCACACTTAAATTTATTTTCTATAAAAAGTTAGACGTAAAAACCCTTTTTTACTACTTTTCACATAAAACACACAACTTTGATATCCTAACTTAACCACAACTACCAAAAGCCTACATCGACCCTCCGACTATACTTGATAAACTCTAACAAACCCGTGCAATGTACCATACACAACCAAAAACACATATTTCTCAAAATTATCACTCAATCCAAAATTTTACAAAATATAAGGGGGAGGAAATTCATGCATAAAACCATCATTTTCATTTTAAATCATTCAAAATACACATGTTCCTACTTGCACAAGTATTTTGGCCCTATCCACGGGTTTATAACCAAAACTCACCAACCTGAAGTATAAAATACATAAGTTGTACACTATAGTAATGTAAATAGTACACACTAATGACATGTGATCTTAATTGGCAATTATACAACATTAATACACAAAAATAGAGTAAAGAGACATGAAAGTAAGATTTCACCATAATTTTATGCCTCAGAATGCTTTCCCTAAACTAGATCGAATGAATTAAGGCTCTAAGAATATTGAAAATTGAGGGGTGAGTACAATTACTCAGTAACCAAGTTTCACCTAATCTATATAGTTGCATATCAATTATAAACAAATGCATATAGGCAAAAATATAAAAACACAATACATATGATGGGCTTGGCCACGATTTATAATACTAACAACCATATAATCGGGCCTAAGGCACATATTTATATTCATAAAATGTTAATGCACATCCTGAGGTCACAATAATACCAACTATGCACCTCTAACACTACCGAACCACAATACTAACAACCATGTGGTCGGATTTAAATACATGATCAAATGCCAACCTTATATCCTCCTGTTACCTCCATTATGAAACCAGTGATTATCACGTGGCTACGTCCTTCACGGACTAACCCAGCCTTTCACTTGTTAGGAGCTACCAGGTTAGGGTTAACTCGCTTACCTGTGTAATTCAGTTTCTCCCAATACTAATAATTATGGAATGTCATACCCCTAATCTAGCCTTCTCATAAACCGGTGCAGATTAGTTAGGTTTGAGTCCCTCATAAAATAAGTGAAATAGTCCCAAATCAATCATGGAATAAGGACTACCTCCTGATTCCAACAATTAGTGCTAAAGCGAGTTCTTAATTTCAATAATCATGGCTAATGTCACGTGGATTTAACCAAACTACTCATCTCCCTAGGTGAACTCCTGCTAATAATTATGTGATGCATATTTGACATACTATGCAATTCTGACAATTAATGTCATTGATACAATTATCTCATCACAT